TTTTAAGATCTACTTTCTAATATTTGAAAGACTTAAAATATATAATAATCAAACACATTTGTTATTTCAAAATATATGATTTTCATAACAATATCAAAATTACTATTTTTTCCATATATTATTTTTATTTAGCAATGATAATTAAATTGAAGTAAAAAAATCTACTCGACTCTTAATTATGCTACTTTTTATATTGTTGTAATTTGAGGGTTTCAATTAGTAAGAAGTAACTGGCTTTAAGCATCCAAAGTTTAACCCAAAACTATAATATTTTCTAACTTTATAATAAATTTAATTTGAAAGATTTTATATTTAAGCAACATTTCCTTCTTTTTACCTTAAAAATAACTAAAAATAATCATAATTACTTTGTAGCTAAATAAATTAGAATATTCGAAGAATTAAATGATTGAAAAATTCTCAAATGGCACATCCTTATAATGAACAATTATTACTGAATCTCATTATTAATGATTCAAATCAATAGTTTTTATTAAAATAAACTCAATAAAATAAATGTCTAAAAATAAATGAGAAAAAATGGTAAATATTTATTTAAAGGATTTAATTAAATTTCATAATTATTATTTCATTTATATGATAATTGAATTGATTAATAACCTTTTTTATGATCATCCAAAACTACTAAATATTCACCCTTCATCTGGCACAGCTCTAAAACTCTAATTAAAGTTACAGTTAAATTTATATAATATCAAAAATTTATCATCTATTGATCACCAATAAAAAAAGCTACTTTAACATTAATTTAATTCCATGTCAAAAAAATTTTTATTTTATAATAAAACTTGTTCTTATTACAAAAACCAAAACAAACTCATAAAATAATTAGTTTATCCCATAATTTGTGATTTCTGAGACAAAAACTTCCAATAAACACTTTATAAAAAACCAATTTAAGAATTTATCTCTAAGTTTTTTCCTTTTTTGAAAATTTTCCATCTTATTTTTTTTATTTTCCCCAATTTCACAATTTCCAAAATTCAGGATGTGTCATCAATAGGCAACTTGTTCGTTATATTCTCCAATATTATGGCAGTCTAGATCTACCCATTTTTATTTTTTTCAAAAACTTCATTTAAAAATTATTATTGAAATTAAGTATTTAAAAAAAAATGAATTGCCCCTTTCATGTTCTACATCAAGTATCAATGATATGTTTAGCTCCTCATAAGTGTTAGTATTAAAGGAAACTTTGCAAGCTATGTCGCTGTGAACATTAAGTCAATAATAATTACATAGTTTCTATCGAAAAATTTTAAGAAATGGTCAATATAAAATTACAAGAATCTTAAATAGATCAAACATCTGACTTGAAAAAATAGAGAATGGCTTTCAAGTTAATGCTCTCTCAAACCTAAAATATGTTTAAAAAAATTCGGGAAGTTTTTTAGGAATCAATAAAGTTAGCTTACGATAAGATTGAAAAGAAAAACTAATCATACATAAATCTTTTGAACTAAAATACTAATCTAGCAAAATCTTCGAATGCTGAAATTGAGAAATTAGTTTCCATTGTTGTAGAAGGAAAAATATTATTAGATTGGAAAGATAAAAAGATTTCTTATTAGAAGATGTTGGAAAAGACGAAAGATTGGTGGGAATAAGAAATTAAGTTATTGATTTAAAAAATAAATGAAGGAATCAAATAGATTTATTAATTAAATTAGTAAGAATTCGAAAATCTTATATAGGACTTTATAATCTAACGAAGATGTGAATATTAAATCTAAAATATTGCAAACCAATTAATTGAGCAAATAGAATGATCACGTTAGTTATTTTTACCCAGCATCCTTTTCACTAGATGGAACTACTTTAGCTTACGGTGGTGATAATAAGACTCTCATTTTATTGGATGTTAAGACTAAATAACAAACCATAATTTAAGAAGAGAGTAATGTCCGCTCAATATGCTTCTCACCAAATGGAACTACATTAGTATCTGGTTGTGATGATAAATGTATCCGTTTTAGGAATAGGAGTGAAATTTAATTTAGAAAACCCTTATTTTACCTTTGGGGTCATTAGAGTTCTGTCATTTCTGTATGCTTCTCGCCAGATGGAAATACTTTGGCATCTGGTAGTGAGGATAAGTCTATTTGTTTATGGGATGTTTAGACACAATAATAAAAAGCCAAATTAAATGGTCATCAAAATAGTGTCCGATCTGTATGCTTCTCACCTGATGGAACTATATTAGCATCTTGTAGTGATGATAAATCTATCCGTTTATGGAGTATTACTGGATAACAAAAAGCCAGGTTGGAATGTAATAGTGTATTATCAGTATGCTTCTTATCGGATGGAATTACTTTAGCAACTGGTAATGAAGATTGTTCATATAGTTTATGGAATGTAAAGACTGGATAATAAAAAGCAAAATTGGATAGTGGAACAATCTTATCTATTTTCTATATTTTTTAGTAAAAAATAAACAAACTCCAATGATAAGCAAAAAATTTTTTATATTTAGGATGTTTATATTTTCGAATCTTAAATCACTTTTATAAATTCTATGAGGTTACTTTTTTTTATGCCAAAATTCAATTCATTTTCTTTCCATTCAATAAATTAAATAAATTGGTTTAACATAAATAGATTCTAAAGTCTATCCGATGATTTTGAGTTGACACTTTAATCATAACCATCCAATTTCAATTTGACTTTTTATATTTAAGTCTTATAATCCCATAAAAAATAGATTAATATGCAATAATTCAAGTTATTTAAACTTGAAGTTTTTTATTTTTAATTTATAAAGAACAAAAGACATATGTTTGTAATATGCAAAAATTTCCTTATCAATAAATAAAAAAAATAATCTTCGGTTGCCTTTTTTTGAGAAAATCAGAAGTCATTTAGTCAAGAATATAAAAAGATTAAAAAAGTTAAGTATCAAAACATGTTAATATTCTTTTAATCGGTAGGTTGAAATACTTAAGAAAAAATTATTTTATTATTATTATATTATAATAAACAAAGAATGGATTCTGCTCAGTTCTTATGTAAGGTTGTATTAATTGGGGATTCAGGAGTGGGCAAGACATCCATTTTGAACAAAAGAATTTATGAAAAATTTACATTCCACACAACTCATACTGAATTAGGTTAAATGAATTCTTTAAAACTAAAAATTAATGGAATAGATATAACTCTTAAATTATGGGACACAGTATTATTCTTTACTAATATTAGGCAGGATAAGAAAAATATCGAACAATTACCATATAATTTTATAGAGAAACAAAAGGAGCATTTCTTGTTTTTGATATGACTAATCATCAAAGTTTTGATAATATCAAATTTTGGGCTAAATAATTAAGAAATCATGGAGGAGACGATGTGAAGAAAGTAATACTAGCAAATAAATGTGATTTAACAGATAAATTAGCTGTAACTGAGGAAGAAATCACTGATTTAGCAAAATAAATTAATGCCAATTTCTTCATAGTATCTGCCTACAATAGCGAGAATATTATAGAATGTTTTGACTTTATGGCAGCAGAATTAATTAAAAATTGCTATAAATAATAATAAGAAAGCCCTAATTTTCAACATAAACAACTTTCCCAAAATACAGAAAGTTTTTTGGATTAAAAATAGAAGAAGAAGTAAAATTAAGGATGTTGTTGATTAAAATATAACAAATAATTCAATATTATCTTTACTTTCTCCCACATTTATTCAATAATTCTAGATGATGTAATATATCAATTAAGGAAATATTTATAATATTATAAATTTTTTTCAAATAGTTTCTCAATTATGTTCCATTCTATATAAGAAAATATTGAAAAAAAGTATTGTAATATCATTTTAATTTTTCAAAGAAAAATTACAATTAATTGCATATTGATTACTTTCAATATTTCCAATATTCTTTTTATAACATCATTGTAGTCTAAACCTGCTTTTTCTAAATCCAATGTTCTACAGAATACAAAATATTAAATATTTTTATGAATACTAGGTTTATTATTTCTAATTTTGCGCCTCAAAAATGTTATTTTACAATTATATGCAACTTTAATTGATAAAAATAAAAATAATCCATTCATTAAGAATATTTAGAAGATCATTTTGAATGAACTATTAAAATGAATATTTTCATTTATTACTTTTTAAAAAGTTACAACTAAAGTTTCCAACGGAAATTTGAGAGCTTGATAAATAATTTCCACGTCAAATTGATTGTCATCATCTAATTGGAAAATTATTATTGTAATATTATACAATTGGCCCAAGCCCTTAATTTTCCCCTTTTTATTTATTGTGACATTGTCATTATAATAGAGAAATGCATAACCTTTTTTTTATTTCTTTGTTCTTTAAACTATTCTTTTTAGATTTCATTATAGTTTGAAATTTCTTAAACACTTTATTTATTCTCTATTTAATTTCAACAGTTAAAAACTCAAGTCTTTTTATGGATTGCTTATCATTAAAAATGTTAAAATTTGAATTAAATTTTCCACAATTTAGTTTTCTTTTTCAAATATCATATAGAAATCAATTACTTTTTATTGCTTAATGATTTTCTTATTAGATTTTGCAGTCCTAAAATGTAATAACGTAAAATAGCAGTATAAAAAAAATTTTTTTTTTTGATGAGGAAAACTGTTTTCAAAAATATGTTTTTACTGCTAATGCCAGCTCACTCAAAAATCCTTAATCAAAAAATGAATTAATCGAAGATTGCAATAATTTTATAAATAATTAAAAACCTATGACATAATTTATGGCCAAATACATAATATATGATCATGTAGCTCATTCTTTTTAACTTGCTTCTTCAAAATTTTAACCTTATACTAAATCAGGAATATCATCTTCTTCTTTTTAATCAGCTTCTGTTATTTTTTCCACTTTTTCCTACCATGATTATTTTAAATTTGTACCTTTTAATTTTCTTTCATTAATTCTTAGAGAAGTGACATTTAATTTGGTCCAATATGATTTAAAATTTCTGGCATTAATTCTTAAAACCTTTTAGTTTCTGGATTTCCAAAAATTGCAAATGTATTACTTCCAATAGCTGCTTAGACTTCAGGTTTTGAGAAGTGAATAATTGTATTATCATCCTTGAAAAAGTTGACTTCATCGATATTTCCTAATTGCTAGACTCCAAATTTCTTTATAACTTATTTCAATTTCTTGTCATCATTAATCTTTTATGATTAATTACTTGAATACTTAAGTTTAATGAACATTTTTATGCTTTCTTCGGGCTAAAGTGCTACCCATCTTTGTTTATCCAAATTTCTCTGCTAATTTCTTTCTATTCTCATCAATCTCAGCCTTAATTTATTCTTTGTTGTTGGACATTCCTTTTTTATTTATTATTATTTAAATTAAAAGATTTAATTTTCTAATGGTCCAATATATAAATATTTTGCTAGTATTTACTTTAAAAATAAAGAAATTCTGCCATTATAAGAAAAGAAAATATTTATCAATGAACTATTTTGTGAATAAATAATTTAAAGATAAAAAATATTATAAATTATAATCCTTATTAATTTCTGAAATTTTAACGAATGATTTTCATGATGTCTTCATTTCAAATTCTTTTGGATAATTCTACAATTTGTAATAGTCTAAAATAGTCATTTAATTTTAATTTCTTTATAAATGATGAATCTATTTTAATATTAGGATTGATGTGAAAAAATTAATGTACTATTATTATATAAAAGCATAATTTAATCATTTTTTCTATGTGCTTTTAACTTTTGACTAGGCTTAAGTTCCTGCTCTAAACCCATTTTTTGCTCTTCTGGCAATAGATTTCAAATATCTCATTCTTCCTGTCCCTGTTGATCTGCGTCTTGCAACTTTTTCTCCCCATCCACTGTCTATAAACTTTTTAATCAATTTTAATACAAAGTCTCAATCTTGCAGCTGGGTATCCACATGAAGCACATCTATTCTTTTAAATGTGGAATGTTTATCTACCACATCTTTTGCAGAATGTGTGAGTTTTTTAATGCCTTTTACCAATTGCTGGTGTACCTCTTGCCATTTAATTATTTAATAAAAGATTTAATTTAATAAAAAAATCCTGTTCATGAACAAAAAATAATGAAAGAAAACTATTTAAAATAGAAATTAGAGGAATAAAATAACTGAAAATCATTTTGCTTTCTATAGTTTACTTAACTGATTTTGTAACGATTCTAAAAATTTCATTTCTTTAATTCATTCGGCATTTTTTGATAATACGAAATAACTTTGATTTTATTTCTTAAGAAGTTATTTTTTAATGTATTTTTTTCTACCCTAAAAGAAAATATTGTTATCTTTGTGTTTTATATCGAGGTGTATTTAACTTGGATTAATTATTTCGAAATCGTAAAATTTTCCATTACCTATTTCAATTAATTTAGAAACATGTATTTGATTATTAAAGAATTTCAATTTTGCTATAATAGCTTTCCTTTTTAACAATTTTAAATGAATTTTAAATGCTTGTCATGTTCCCAATTCATTAAGTCATTAAATTTCTTACAAATTTTATATTACCAATTTACAAAAATAATTTTTGTATTTAATAAATTAACAGATGATAAATTTACCTGTTGATGTTGATGTTTAGATGATCTAAAAAAATAAGCTATTTTAAAAATTCCTTTAATAGCAATAGCAAGAAACATAATAAAAACCTTAAATTTAATAAAAAATACACAATAAATCATATCCTGACTCTATTGAGGATTAGAAATATTCTTAAGAGAAAATGGAAGAGAGTTCCATCTATTAAGATTTTGCTAATTTTGCTAAAGCTACTAATTATAAGCAACAATCACCATAAAATTATTATAAGCAATAATAACAATAAATTTCATCATCGAATTAAAATTCCGGAAATACTTTGAATTAAGAAATTAAGGATTTGTAATTTAGGAATAAATCCTTATTACAATAAAATTCAATTTTACAATAACAACTGATAGATCTATAATAATCTATTCATAGATAAACGATTGATTTAGATTTATAGAAAAATGAGATTTTGAATTAAAAAAGAGTTGTCTAAGAATAATAAATAGAGATTGAGTAATTAAGAAGGTAATTGTAAGAGAAGAGAAACAGTAGTTTAGAAAAAACTCGATAATTCACAATAGTCCAAACTTAATTGATTTAATCAAATCAAATGGTAGAAAAACTAATTTCATAATTGATGAATTAAGAATCCTAACTAAGTGTAAGATTTTAAATAATATGAATAGTTATATCGGTAAACATAGATCAATTTTCCTAAAATAGATAATTTATAATTCAATGTAGATTAAAATAAATCAAATTTGATTAATGCATAGAATCTTCTTAATAATCCATCCTCTGTATCATAGATATATCCTACACAGTATCAATAGCCAAATTCTCACTAATAAATAGCTTAAAGTTCTACTTAATAACATTAAACATAATATGCAATATCACAATAATAACAAATCTAAATTTCATAATAATAGTTGTCATAATAAAATCCAAATCCTGTTAGTTAGCCAACAAAACAATAATAATAATTGGAAGTTGATACATCTTACGAACGCTATTTAATGCATAAAAGAGGAAGAAATTGATATTTTTTAAATCAATATATTTTTTACTAAATTTTAAATGAATTCAAATTATTTTTATAATTTTAGTACATACAAAATTTATAAATATCTAATGTAATTATAATAAAAAGCAAAGATGAATTTACAAATAAGGTCAATGGATAGAACATCAGTATGGGAAAAAAAATAATAAACTCGACTCTAAAAGAAATAAATTCATTAATTGGTTCTACTTTAGTAGAGGAATTTAGAAATGATAATGAAAATGATTTCAATCCAAATATAATTGTTGGAAATGGATAAAGTTTACCCAAGAAGAGCAAAAAAATTAATAAATGCAGATAATATTGTAATTTTTTATCAGAATTATTGCAGAGCAGAATTTGCTTGCAAACTTTTAAAGCTTGGGAAATATTTGTAGACTAAAATATTTATATTAATAAGTAATCATATGACTTGGTCTACAACACCTTTGAATGATAGAAAAAAAGATGAAACTGAGATGAGATAATCGATGGGAGGAAAAAAGATGATTAACCATTTTTGAAAATGTATTATAAATTTACAGAAAATAATCTTACATCAAGAAAAATTCAATTATAAGAAAGATTAAAGCATTTAGAACTATAAATAATGGTTTGTGATAAACAATTATTGCATGAATACATAATAATTCTGGATTGGTATACAAGATCAATATATTGATGGAAAAAAAGAATTCAATTATAATATGGTAACGGAGAGAAGGGTTTTCTAAAAATATATTGAAAATTCAAGAATAATTCAAATTATACAGAGGCCTAGATATTGTTAAATTAATTGTACATGCAGGAACCGTATCAGAAAATCCTATCTTTACAAATAATTAGCTAGCTTTTATAGTTTATTAGAAGAATAAATTAAGGAAAAAATTTGGAAATAGCAAGAAACCCACAAAAATCTAAAGCAACTTTAGAAAAGTTATAGAAGTTCAATAATTTAATATAATTGAAAGTGATGTGAATTATTTTTGGATTAATTATTGATTTCTTATGGAAATTATATAAAGAATAGAATTGTTAAAAAAATAATATGCAGAATTATTAATATAATAATGACAAAAATGATACTATCTAAATCTATTTCTGATATTAAAGAAATCAATTCGCATAAACAGATTAGTATAAAATATCAAGATATCATATATTAAAATAATCTAACTTTGCGATTGATAGCCTTTTAAGAAATATAATAATAAAAATCACAAAAATAAATTATCTCAACAAAAATTTGAAGCAGACACAACTAAATTAATGAAAACTGCACTGTTAGTTGTAAATTTAAAGAATGGGTTTAATTAAACAACAAATCATCGTTTATCTAGCAATTATCTGAAATTTTATAACTAAATCAAATAGAATTATTAAACCAGAATTAGATATTATTTTAAGAAATTCTTAGAAAAATTAACAAATTAATCAATAAATAAGAAGTTAAAGTCACCACTCAAAATGAAAATAATTATAATTTTTCTTTTATCTTTTATGCCTTATAGATATGGAGAGATGATAATTTCAAATTGTATCAAAATAATTAAATTTAAATCAAATTATTTTTGTAGTTGTTAAATAATTATTAATAGTTTAAATAACTAACTTACTTAATTATTTAAACACACCTTATTTGTTGTAAGCTAATTATTTTATTAATTAAAATAGGAGTATAATTTCTGATGAATCAGAGTAAATCTAATTTTTGTAAGAGATGTTAACTTATTATTTTAAAATAAGATTCATAAAGAGAACTTTTAGTAGATTAGGCAAAGTGTAATGTAGTGGAATAGTTTGAAAATGTGGAAAAATCTATTTGTATTTGTTATAATTAACACAAAAAAATCTTTAAAATTTACAGTCTAGTATTGAATACTCAATTTGAAAGTAAATTATATGAATTGTTTATTATTTATTTTAAATATTTTAATGGGATGTGGTTGTATTACATCAGCTGCTGAAAACCCTAACAGAGTTTCAAGAGTCGATGATTTCAATATAACAGCAAATGATCTTGTTGTAAAAAAGTTAGGAAAAATCAATAAAGATTATGATATTATTAGACCTTCAATAGGAAAAGGTATTTGTAAAATACTATTACCATTTAGGTAGTTTTGGAAAGGTTTATAAAGTTATACATAAAGTTTCTGGAGTTTAGAGAGCAGTCAAAGTGATTAGAGCAACTCAATTAGATTAAGATAAAATAGCTTAAGAAGTTTTAATTTTGAAAAAAATGGTTATCAAATAATTTAATAGCTAGGATCATCCAAATATATTAAAAGTTTATGAATTTTATTAAGAGGGAAACTATATTTCAATAGTTACTGAACTATGTACTGGGGGAGAATTATTTGACAAGTTATCAAAAGGTTAGAGTTTTAATGAAGATTTGGCTGCAATAACAATGAGATAAATACTATCAGCAGTGAATTATTGCCATTCTAATAATATTGTACATAGAGATTTGAAGCCAGAAAACTTATTATATGAGAGCAAAGATAAAAATGCTCTTCTTAAATTAGTTGATTTTGGAACTAGCAGTGTCATCCAATAGAAGATGAAATAAAAGCTTGGAACCCCATATTATATAGCTCCAGAAGTGTTGAATGAAAATTACAATGAAAAATGTGATGTTTGGTCTTGTGGTGTGATACTTTATATCTTACTATGCGGATATCCACCATTTTAAGGGGGCACTGAAGAAGTTTATATTAACTATACTTGTAGATGATTATGGTAAAGGTGAAGGAAGGAAAGTACAATCTTGAAACTGAAGATTGGCAATGCATTTCTGAAGATGCCAAAAATTTAATTACTAAAATGTTAAGAAAGTATTGAATTAATTCTTTATAAAAAAGAGATCCAACACAAAGAATTAATGCTAATGAAGCACTTAATCATTCATGGATCTAAAAATTCACTTCTGTTGTTGATGTTTCTAATTTAAATAAAGTTCTATATAATATAAGAACTTTTTAAGCTGTTTGTAAATTGTAAGAGGCAACTTGGATATTTATGGTTAATAATCTGGCCACTTCTGATGAAAAAGCTTCCATTATGAAAGCATTTTAAGCTTTAGATCTTAATCATGATGGATTATTAAGTAAGGAAGAATTAATTATTGGGTTTTCTTAAATTATGAGTTAAGTAGAGGCTGAAAAAGAAGTTTCTAGGATAATGAGACTCATTGACAAAAATAATAGTTAACTTATTGATTATACAGGTTCATTTTTATTTTTATTTAGAATTTCTTATGGCAAGCACAAGCAGAACTGAATTTCTTGATGATGAAAGAATTGAAAAAGCTTTTTAGATGTTTGATCTTGATAAAAGTGGTGGAATCTCTCAAGAAGAAATCTGTGAAGTTTTAGGTGGAGGAACACTTTATGATAAAAAAGTTTGGTCAGATTTAATTAAAGATGTTGACATAAATGGAGATGGAGAAGTAACATATTATTTGAGTTATTTAAGATATAATTAGATGAATTCAGATAAATGATGTTATCTATGATAACTAAAGAATGATGGTTAATATTATGAATAAACTATAACTATATATATTCAAATTTTTAGAAACTTCATATTAGCAGCTTTGATTTTAACAATATAGATCTTTTCCTATAAATCATATATATATTTAAATTACTTATAAATTTTTCTTTTTAAAAATGTAAATTTATTCCAATTTATTTTTATATCTTCCCTACAAAATCCTCCAATTAACTATTATAAAAAGTTACAAATTGGATTATTTTATTCCACCTATATGATTTGATTTTGGATAGGTTAATAATTATCTTCATTCTTCTAATTATTATTCTATAAACTTTCATCAACCTATACTATTTATTCTTAAATAATAATTTTATCTTAAACTTATTCTTATTTTTTTTATTATTCTTATTCCTTTTATTCACTTTTATTTTTCTTACCTCTTTTCTTTTTCTTATTATTAATTCTACTTTTTTTTTATTTTTATTATTTTTTTTTTAACTTTTCAACTTCTCTTTATTTTAGAAGCTCTTGTTAAACAATTGGATTTTCAATATTATTTTAATTTTTTTCATGGTCTTAAGGCTCTTAATTTATTTCCTCTTACAATTAATTTTCAATTAAAAATTGTTATTTATTAATATTAAAGGTTTCTTATTTATCTACCTATTCCTCAGACTCTGGTTAGTTCATTTATTCAATATCCATATTATTATTGATTTTAAGATTATTTTCATCTTATTACATTTCTAGGTGAAATTCTTAAGCAATTTCAGCCTCAACTATTTCAATATTTGATTCTTATTTTGGAGTTTATTGTTAAGGAATAAATTAATTTTGATCTTAAATTATAAATTATTAAGATTAAATTTCTTTTGTTGATTTATTTTCTTCAATGATTTCTGGTTATAAATTCTATTCTTTCTCCTTCTCTTAACAAAATATAATTTTATTTTCAATTTCTCCATATTTCTCAGGAGTCTGTATCTATTCAGAGTTATCTTAATTATTCTCATTAAAAAGATTCTTTATGAGGCTATTTTGTTATTTGATTTCAAAGTTATTATTTTATTCAATTGTTTGATTATTTAATTAAGTATCTTTTTTTTCTTCCTAAGTCTTCCCTTAAATTTCATCATGAGATTTACTGACGATAGTAGGTCTTAATTGAATGGAAGAAAAATCTAGATTTTATTGATCCAAATTTTCATTCTTAATTTATTCTTATTGAATATTTGAGTCAAAACAATTAGTTTTATTAGAATTTTCTTACAAATTATCATCAGCAAATTCATCAATTTGAGCTAATCCTTTTTAATTTTTTTACTCAATTGGTTTGATTAAGCTAGTTTATATATCCACAATTGGGCTTTTAGCTTCCAAATTCAAAGAGATATTTTATATTTTAGATTAACTCTATTTATTGGTTAAATTAATTTCTAATTAGTTATTTAATACTATAATTGAATTAATTCTTTAATAATTTAGTTCTTTTTATTATGAAGTATTCTAGAATAATTATCTAGAGCAAAATTCTCTATCCTTTTATTTCGAAGGTGTTTATCTAACTCCAATATTAGGTGGAGTCATTCCAATTTTCTCTAAATACTTTTGATATTAAATTTCATAATCATCATTATCAGCCATTTGATAAAAATATTAATGAAAAAAATTAAAATAGAATTCATTATTAAACAATCATTTCAAGTTTTCCAATCAGTTCATATGAATCAATGTCTGAAACTTTTATCTTTTATACTAAATCCTTAAATTTTAAATTATTTAAAAATAATTATGGCCTTGTGTCACATAAAATAGTAATCCATTTCATGCAGTTAATTTATAATTTGTGATTATTAATTTTTTTCAATAAAAATGAGAATAATGCTTCGCATTTTGAAATTGGTAATTCTTTGATTACATCAGAAATTAAATTTTGATCACACTCAAGACTTGAAATAATGATATTTGAATTCTTTGTTTATAAGCCTTCAAGAATCTGAATTAAAATTTCCTATTAATTCATAAAATATATGTTAATTATTTTAAAATCTTAAATTATTGTAAATAAATTATATCGGATATTCTATTCATATTCATTTATTAAAAAATACAACCATTAAAATGATGCCATAAAATATCAAAGATGGTAAAAAAGTCATAAAAAATTTTCCAAAACTATTAAAATAAGATAAAAAATACCTAACATATTATCCACTTAAAATTAGCATTAACCATATATGAATCATAGTGTATGATTATTTTCCATTATATTTCATATTATTCAAAGCCTTAGCAACATGACTATGACAATTATTTGTAAACAAATTATGCTAATTTATTTGGATATGATTACCATCTATTATCCAAATTCATCATCAGCTTTTAAAACTGCATCATCCCATATTTAATTTGAAACTTCAAAATTTTTATTTAATTTCACATATTTTAATGGTTTTCCGAATGTAAAATTATCTATTGCAATATAATAAGGTCCTCCAAAGTCATGAATAGTTCCTTCAGATGTACAAATCCCAGTATGTCCAATACAAGGAATAAGCCATGTTAAAACTGGTATACTAGTCCAAACTATACAAAATGGATATCTAATATTAAAAATTCTTATTTATACTTTTAATTTTCAACACTGATTTAATCAACTTATTCTATTTCCATGTTTTCTTTTTCATTTTCTTGCTCTTAGTTTTCTTCCTAAACTGCCAATTTATGTTTTTAGGCTGATTTAGTTGATATTTGACCCATAATTTTTATTATTAAATATATAATGTTAAATGAATTATGTTTCTTCTATTTATATTCATTCAACCTATTTTTTTGTTCGTTTTACTGTTGTTGTAGTTATTGTAGATTAAGAAGATTCATCTTAGTTTGGTTATTTGTTTTTCAAGATTTCTGATTCATGTTCAAGTTCAATTAACTTTTGCTTAGTCTCATCAAATGTTTTGTTCAGATTAAGATATCTATTTTTCCAAGTATTTATTTCATCCTGTAATCCTATTATAGTTACTGATTATGACTATTTTTCTTTAGCTTCTTCAATCTTTTACTTTAATTGTCTAAATTTTAATTGAATATTACTCAATTTTATTGTCTCTTTATTAATTTAGAGTGATTTCTTTTTCATATTTAGCTTTCCATTAATTGATTATTTTATCTTTATTTGATAGATCTTAACTGATATCTAAACTTTTTGCTAATTATTGATCTTTTCTTTATTTTTCATCTATTAATTGTTAATAGGATCGATCTAATAATTTTTAATGTTCGGTTATTAATATATTCAATTATTACATAGTAGCCAATTATCCTTAAAGTTGTTTTTAGTTGTTTCGTGCTGTTTCTGCCATTTTGCTACAGCAATGTCCATCAAATTCATTCTATCCTGTAAGTATATTATAAGCAGATTTTCCATAAAGTAAATTTTGTTCAGAATTAGTTTTATCATTCCCTTATTCTTACCAATTTAAATAGCTTGAATTTTCTTATTGAGGACAAAATGTCTTAGTTGGCTCATAAGGAATCTTTGGTTTATTTGGACAAATTGAATTAGAACTAATTTCATTAGAGTCCATTCTATTCAATAAATTAGAAATTAAATTGTATTTAATAAGAATACTTATTTTACTAAAGTAAATTTGCCATAATTTTAAACTATCTTTAAAATTCATTTCATTTTCAACAAAGAATTAATCTTCATAGAGTATTTAACAATTATGAATTATTTATATATTATTTTATGATTTCAATTAGAAAATTTAGATAATTTAAATATTTATATATAAAATTCAAGGTTTATGTAAACCTTTAGTACATCCATACAGGCAATCTCTACATCTATTACAACAGGTGAAATATTCATCTTGTCCACATAATCTACAAGAAAAATATTTTAATTTTCCAGGATGGTAAGTACAACTAGCTTCATTTTAACCTTCTTTTTATGCAAATCCACATCTTATACATTTCCACATTATTGGAGATGATTCTATTTGTTTTGTGATTTTTTAAATTTCTTCCAAATAGTTCTCAAGATTATCAATATTATTTTTAATCCCACTTATTTTTTTAAGAACATCATTTTATATATTTTAAACATATTCTTTATCATCTAAATTTGATTTAAGTACTTTTAATTATTTCTCTTACTAAATATTTGATTTTTATAAATAATCAATCGATCCTTTATAATCCTAAATTTAAACTTTGATTTCATCATGTTCTGAAGTCACTTTTGCTAAAGTTATATTGCAAGAGCTAATAATTCTATCAACTTCTAATTCTGAGAGAAATGAATCATGAGATGTTTATAGTGATGATCTGTGTCTTGTTTTTAGTAGCATTTATTTTATTTAAATTATAAAATATAAATTGATGTTAAATCATTTTATTCTCAAATTAGATAAAATTCTAGTTTATTTAATTAATATTGTTACAACTTAAAAAAAGTAATTTTAAAAGTTCTTTGAAATAAAAACTATGATTTGAAATAGATTTTAATATAACATTTTTGTATAATCATCGGTTCTTGAATTGAGGGGAGCTATACATTTTAAGTGAATTTAGATGACCATTTTAACCCACAGTAAGTGATTATATTAAGTTTAATTGATCTATAAAGTCTTCGCTATCGGAAACTGACTCTGCAATCATCATTTAATATGAATTTTCAACATCGTCTCTTTCTATCATTTACGAATGACCTTCTTCATAATTTTATTCAATATTCTCTTAAACTTATGCTAATTACATTTTCGCTTATTAGAGACTAGTTTAAGTTTTTTAATTTTTTAATTATTGTTATTCTGGAGTATGATAAAGATCAATGTTTGTAATAGGAACTGATTTAAATGGAGAACTTTCAGTTTTTGGAGTTCGAGGCAATGATGATAATGTTTTTGAGGTTTTTTAATTATTAACTGAGTCTCTTTTGACAATGCTTTCATAAACATCTTCATTTGTTATTGTTCTTAATCCAACATCTGATAAATTCTTCTTTATTAAAGAAGTTTTTTATAAACCTACAGTAACAAATTCATTTATTTTATAAGGTTCATTTAAAGTTATTTTAATAACTTCTATTGGTTTTCTCTATAGATCCTCAATATCAGTTATATACTTCTCTACTGTTTTATGATAACAATTCATTATTTCATTGAAAGGTTCTTAAGCAATTTATTTGATAATTCGATCTAAATTCTATTGAACATCATTTTTCATACCAATGCTTTCTTACTTTGAATTTTAAAGAGATTTTATAGTTTCTTCATATGTAAAAGAAGTTTGTTTAAAATTTTGAGTTAATAATTGTATTAATTTGTCTTTCTCTTCTGAAAGTTATGAGGTGACCAATTAATGAAATCGAATAACTTTGTCTACCTATTATTCAAAATATTTTGTAATGTCTTATTTTTTCGTTAATAAACCAGATAGTGCTTTATCATATTAAGTAAGGTTTCTATTAACCAAATTTAGAAACTTATCAATTACTTCTCTTCGTTATCTTTCCTCAAATCCATTTATTTCTTCAACAACAAATCCTTTGCCTGCCATATTTATAGCACATTTAGAACACAATGACACCGAAAGATCCTTTGCCATACAATATTTAGCATTTTTTTAAGGATGATTCATACAACACATATTCTTATTAGCTTTAGATTTATTTAATGAGTTTATATTTTCATTTCCTGCAATTGAATTATGAGGTGTGAATTTCATTGTTTTTGGTTAAAACATTTTTATAAATTTTTGAATTTTAAATTTTATTATAAACGAATTAATTAATGCATAATCTAATTTCAAGGAATATGAAACTCTTAAGATAATTGATAAAGTTTGTTAATTATACACAAAATTTACTTATAATACTCTTCATTAAATTTTCTTAATAAATACATTTCTAATTTCTAATTATTGATTTCAATTTGGTTGAGTTCAGATTATAATTTAAATGAATTCTTTGTTGTATAGAATAATTGATCTTTTCTACCACTAAATAAAAATCTACTGAGAAGTTCTTTATGATTAAATGATCCAAATGTAATAGGAAAACTTAAATCAATTAATGTGTTGAAGTGAGATATATAGAAAAATAGTAGTTCTCCTTAAATTAATAATTTTTGTTAGTTTGCTTATAAATTGATAAATTGAATAGAAAATTGATCATTCTATATTAAAAAGATAACTTTAAGTCATAAGAGCTAATGGGGTTGTTATATTAATTATTAATATAAGGTAATTTCTTTAGTAATGATATCAATAATTTTAATTCAATAATGAGTGTGATTAATCCTCAATTTAAGCCTTCTAGATTTAGATTAGAAAGTCTGGGACCTTAATTAGCTTTTAATTAAACCTATAATCCAGTATGAATAGTATATTTATGATAGAGATTTTGTTATATTGGAAGTGAAGACTATTTAAATGATATAATATAATTAGAATAACAGTAGTTGGAGGAACAAATGATCGCTTTGGTCACTTAGTAATCTCTTGATATGGAAGAGAAAAGTCCATAGGTAACAACTTTAGCAGAGAAGCAATAAAATAATTATAAGAAGAAAGTATCAAAATTTATATCTCTTAATTAGAAAGTCTTTGACAGTGCTGATTATTTTATGTAGTAATAACAGAAAAAGGAATTAACAATAGAGTAGAAGTAAGAGGAGTTGTTGTTGACTAAATATGCTGCAGCAAATTTATAATTTAAGACCCCCTTGACAAAGAAATAAAAGAAAGTGTTTGACTCAGCAGACTACTTTCTATCACTATACAAAAATTGAAATAATTAAATCGTTTTAAAATATATATAAAATAAAATCGATTGTATTATTGAAATTATTCATTGTTATTGTAAACACTTAACATGGAACTTGCTTATTTATTATGATTTAGAACTCAATTTACATCAGAAGATATCATGACTTCAATAGAAGATAAAATTACCTATTATAAGAATATTCAATAGATTCAATTCATCATATAAAAACTTTAGATTAATCAAAACAAAGTAGAAGTAAGTTAAACGTCGGTTTCAAATGATTTTGCACTTCAATAAGAAATATATTACAGCCAGTTAAATTAGATTGATAATAAACTAATTTATAAGGTGTTCATTTGACATTTAATCTATTGAAATTAACTACCTAAAATATAAACAACATTTTATTAATAGCAGTATAAAGAATAAGAATTAGATAGACAATGATATTTTTTTAAAAGACCAAATCCATTAAAATATAGAAAACACTGCTTAAAATCTCAACTAATCAATTTTGCTGTAATAATAAATCGAATTAAAAAACTAATGAATAAAAGCAATATTTAAAGTAGAAAAATAGTATTTACCATAAAATGATTAGGAGTAAACAAATTTGGATAGTAAAATATTTTTAAAATTATTTTAATCAGTATTCTTGATAGGAAATTTAAACACAAAATAAATATATGGACTGATTATTCGAAAATTGGTTTAATTAGAAGAGTCAAAGATATATATTTTAAAGTATTAGTAAAATTTCTTTTTTTCAATATATGGATTAGGCAACTTTAATAACACACAAAAATCTAAGAGGATAATAATTAAGATATAAAACTTAACTTCCCTTAAAATAATAAATTAAATCTACCATTTTGTAAAGGTAATATTTCTATGAAAAATTATTTATCTTATATACTTGCATTCTTTATTTCAACTAATTCTTCTAATATATATATATATAAATTTAACTTTAGTTCTTTCTATTTATTGATTTAATTTTTAAATCAGAGATAAAATATATTATACAATGGATAGACCATTCGAATTATATACATCTTCGCTCATCATGGTACATTTTTTATTAATATAAAAAATTCATAAACTATTTATTTATTTTTGAATTATTATTATTTTAATTTTTTCTATGAACTATTAGACTTTCAAACCTATCATCTTAAATGATACAACTAATAAATTACCTATTTAATAGAGATCTAATGTAAAATCTTGTTAGAAAAATTCTGATTTTAATAATAGTATCAATGAGAACAAAATATTTGATTAATAATTAGAAGTCATTAAACAATTAGATGAATAAAAATAGATTATTGAGGGATAAAATCAATTTATTTAGATCTTACGCAATTCTATCGAAAATAAATTACAAATCGAAGGATTTTAATAGGTTTTAGATTAAGTTTTGAATATGTCAAGAGAATAAAAAATTGATTTATTTGCTTTACTTTCATAACTTTATCAAGAGCTTTATATTTAAAATTAAAATATAACTTAGATTGAAAATTTATAACAATTAGTTGATAATCTAAATCATTAAATCAATTGTTAAGCTAAATAATTAATGGAATTAAAAGTTGATAAATAATCATTAATAGACTAATTAGATTCTTAAGCAAGTACTACTAAAGATGATGATACAATAATATTTAAAAATGCATAAATCCAAAAATTAGAATCTGATAATCTTCATTTGAAATCTTAACTCTAATAACATGAATAAAAAAATGAAAAATATTAATAAGATATGCATCTACTTGAAAAACGATTGAATAAAATTCACATAAATTTAAAAACAAAAGAATACAAAAAGGAAGAATTAATTAAAGAATTAGATAGTTTAAGATAAACATCTTATAGATGTTAATAAAAGGATGAAAAAAAGTAAGAGTTAAATATAGCCCTTAAAGATTAAGAAATAGATCTTTTAAATAACAAAATAAAAAAGTTTGAATAATAAATTAATGAAAAAAACTTAATTTTAGAGCAAAATTTTTAATAAATGGAAACATTAAAATTTTAACTCAAAGATCAGGAACAAAATTATTCATGTTAATTGGAAAATTATTAGTTCAAATAAAGTTAAATGGAAGATGAGTGCCGTTAATTATGTTAATATAAAGAATAACTGTAATAAGAATTTTCAATTTCAGAATAATTCATTTAGCAAAGTAAGAAATTTTTTATAATTAAAAGTAACTTTGAAAGTTAATTAAATGTCTAATAGATAAGATTTAGATGTTTTAAATAATCTTTACTATTTAGAAGAATTGATATAAAATCTATTTTATGCTGAAGAAAAACTTAAATAATTAGATAATGAAAAATCCTAAATTATATTTGATTTGCAACATTAAGTTACAGACTCTCAATAAATTAATTAATAATTAACATAAGAAATTTCTAACTAAACTAATTAATTATAATAATATTAGACTGATCTAAAATATTTAGAAAAATAAAAACGAATGCTTAAATAAGAATTAATTCACTTAAAATGTTTGGAAGAATAAAAGAGTAAAAATATTTAAGAATTATAAATTTAATATTCTAAGTATGATAAGAAATTATCGAGCCAACTTGAATTACAAATAGAAGTAGAAAAAGAGAATGTTTAATTGAAAGAATAATTAATAATTTTACAGTAATAACTTAATAACAATAAGAATTAATTATCAAATAAAAGTAGTATTGCTTCTAGCTAAGTTTCAATTATTGACTAAAAATCCAAAAATTTTGATTACATTGCTTTATTAAAAACTGTAAAAAATAATTTTTTATTGTAGTTTGAAATAGTTAAAACTTTATTTTAGATGGAATGTTAAGAGTTAATTTAAGAAATGCTTATATTATAAAATAAATTAATTCGAACTGAAACAATTGATAGTGAACTGATTCAGTAGGAAGTAAGATTATAACAAAAGTTATCTAATCAATAATAAAAATTTAAAGATAGTTAAAAGTAAATGAAGTAATTAATATCAGAAAACAAAGATTTAAAATAAAAGGTTTAAACAAATAATTATTTTAGATGCTTAATAACTAAGTACAAAATTTAAATCAGAACTATACTTACAGAAATTAGTCGTTTGGTTAAGAAAAATGTTTTGCTCGATATCATAAATAATCAATATCAGTCCATAACAATACCAAACAGAGACCATAATGAACATATTTTACTAAATTTATAAATTAATTCTTATTTGAGATTCAAAAAAAGGAATATTCTATAATTTATAAGCTTAAGAATGATATATAATATAATAGACTATTTGTTCACAATCTTTTGTTTTATAATAAATAAAATATACTAAGGATTAAAATGTAAAATAAAATTAACTTTATAAAAATTTAGAATCTGTCTAAATGAAAATAAAGTTATTTAAAGATGAATAATTTGATATTTAATTATTTATATAAGTTCAGTTTTAGAAATATAATTATAAATATAATTTATTTACATATGAGTAAAGCATATAAAGACATAAGAGCAAATTTTGTATTTGATGTAGCACCAAAAAGTACACATTAATCAAATGATGAATAACCAGTGGTTATTAAATAATCAGACCCCATTAAAATTGATAATTAGTAATAGAATGTACAGGAAATGATTTAATAAAAAACATAAAATTTTGATGAGGAGAAGTTGAAATCATATTAAAAAATGTTTGAAATGTGTTAGCAATTATATAATGACAAAGCTTAATTAATAGATGTATAAAAGTATTTAATTAAAGACAATTGATTAATAGTAGAAATAAATATTAGAGTTAGAGAGACAAGTAAATGAATATGAAAATTTGGAAGCAAATTATGAAAAGGAATAGCTATAATTAAAAGAGGAACAATTATAATATGTATAGGAGATTGAAACATTGACATGTCAGTTATAGTTGGTGATGGAATAAAGATTGGATACTAATAAGATATAAAACAATTAAGATGAGATTTATGATGAATTGATGAATTTTATATATAAAGAGAATCTTTAAGAGTTGATAAACGAAATGGATAAAAGTAATAAAAAGATGATTGTATAGTTTTTAGTAGAATATGTAAATTGTTGTTTTGATGGTTTAGTTAATCAACTAATATGTATAAAAAAAGAATCAGGAAGAAAAATATTAGAGTCATATATAGGATAATATATAAATAATTTATGATTTGTAAAGCAAAATATAAGATCTAACTTGTAATCCTTTTAGAATAACAACTCCAAAGAGTGTATTGAGTGAAACATTAAAACAGAGTAAGATGAGCAATAGTGCTAGTAATTTTCATAAGACTAACAATAATCATAATACTGATAAAGATGAATTATAATCAAAGATTGGTATTTATGTAAATTTAATTAGCTTCTTTAAAGCGTTAAGGAAAATAAATAAATAAAAAATGGTAAGAATTTTGTGAAAATATTCTGAGAGAAAGAAATGATGTAATAAAATATCACAAAAAATAAATTGAATTAATAAATGAACATAATATTGAATTGAAGAAAACTATCTCTGAAATAGTATAATATTTGGGATAGAATTAATAAGATTTATGGATATAAATGTTAGATATTAAATAAAAAATACATTTGAAAGTGATTGATTTAAGTAAAAGTGATGATATCAATAAATTATTGATAGAGGCAGAACTTAAATAATTATTTTTATTATAGGCATAAATAAGAAGTTAATTAAATCGTAATAGACCATTAAGAAAAGATTCATAATGAATTATATGTTAAAGTGATAATTGTTGAGTAGTATACGTGTTAATTTATTATTTTAATTTATGAGACTTCTTCATTTGTTAAGACCAGCACTTTCTATTATTCCTGAAGTATAAGAGCCAAGATTTCCTTAACCTTTAAAGGTCAAAGTGTTAATAACAGGAATTACTCTTTTTATATATTTGATTTGTTGTTAAATCCCATTATATGGTGTATATAGAACCTCAGGTATATTTCAATTAAATATTTGTAAGGATCTGATCCTTTCTATTGGATGAGAGTAATATTGGCTTCAAATAAAGGTACATTGATGGAATTGGGTATTTCACCTATTGTAACATCTGGAATGATTTTACAATTTCTAAGTGGGGTAGGATTTATTGAAGTAAATCACTCTGTTAGAGAAGACAAAGTACTATTTAATGCAGCATAAAAATGTAATACTAATATATCAATTATTAGTATTATCCTTTATTATGGCAATTGCTGAAGGAATGGCTTACATATGGTCAGGTGCATATGGTGATATTAATTAAATTGGAGCAGGCAATGCTATTCTCATTTTATTATAATTAACATTTGCTGGAGTTGTTGTGACCATGTTAGATGAAATGCTTTAAAAAGGATATGGTACAAATAAAAAATTTAAATCTTTTAGGTTTGGGATCAGGTATTTCATTATTTATTGCTACTAATGTAAGTGAAAATATTTTATGGAAATCATTTTCACCAATTACATTATCTACAGAAGCTGGAACTTAATTTGAAGGAGCTATTATTAATTTCTTCCATTTGATCTTCACAAAATAAAATACTCGTAATATTTATCAATTATTTGTAGTTTAAGCACTTTATTATGCATTCTTTAGAGAATCAGCTCCAAATCTTAATAATTTATTAGCTACCTTATTTGTGATCTCATTAGTCATTTATTTATAAGGTTTTAGAGTTGAAGTTCCATTAGCCAGTTAAAAAATTAGAGGATTAGTATCATCACATGGAATTAAATTATTTTACACTTCAAATATTCCTATGATTATTCAGAGTACTCTTGTTTAAAATGTTTATTTCTTATCATAATTACTTTATAGAAGATTTAAAACTAATTTCTTTGTTAAATTATTAGGTACATGGTAAGAGGCAGAATTTGGAGGTTAATCTGTACCTATTGGAGGTTTAGCTTATTATATGTCACCATTAAGAGATGTTAAAGATATTATTAATGATCCTATTCATGCTATTGTTTATGTTTTATTTGTTGTTTTTATGTGTGGATTCTTTGCTAAATTTTGGATTCAAATTTCAGGTGAAAGTGCAAAAGATGTTGCTAGAAAATTCAAAGATGAATAAGTATCTATTATATTTTTATTCTAGATTAAAATTAAAGGTTTAAGAGAAGAATCTATGGTTAAATATTTATCTGGTTATATTCCAGTTGCAGCTTTTTGTGGAGGAGTTTGTATAGGATTATTGACTATTGTTGCTGATATTTTAGGAGCTATTGGATCAGGTAATATTTTTTATAATATTTTTCTAAGGAACTGGAATCTTGCTGGCCGTTACAATTATTTATGGATATTTTGAAACTTTTCATAAGGAAAAATATGATAATCAATCCATATTTTGATCAATGCCATTTTATCTATATATATGTATAATAATAAACACATAGTATTTTATTTTAATATCGCTATTTATATAATCATTTATTAATTAATAATTATACACAATTATTAGTCTTTATTATATATGATTCATTCACATTTATTTATAGATTCTAAAATGTTCAAAAAATATATTTATGTTATAAATATGTCAAAAATTCAGATTTCTCGAATCAGTGTTATTTATACATGATTACTTACTGATTAATTATTATTATATAAATAATAAATGCTTCTATGTAAATTTCATATCATTTGCATTTTATAATATGGATTTATTAATATTCCATTTTGTTTATTTCTATCATTATTTTA